CCCCCCCCCCCCCCCCCCCCTTTTTTTTTAACAGCTTATCTTTAAAAAGCTGAACGCAGGTGAGGCTGGGTGAGCTGGACATTTTCTTCCAAGCAAATAATCTCATTTTGATGCCGAGCAAGAGTGATGTGAATAACTTTTTTTTTTTTTGTTAAAAGACTAAAATATAATCCTTTTTTCAGACATATCTCACTGTGCCAGGATCTGTAGTAGTTCAGGTTAATGTTTCCCCCTGGGTTAAGTCTGTTTCATTATCAGGAAAAGCCTTCAAAACCTTTTCCTGTGCCAGTTTCAACGAACATGACTCCCTGTGCTAATCACAGTGGATCAATAACTTCATAAAGCCCCCCCCCCCCCCAATACATTTTTTATAACTCTTTCAGATAAATAAATAAAAATATCCACATTTCACACCCTTTTTCTGCTATTACTATAGAAAATAGCTCATAAATAGCTTCATATAATGTGCTGTATTGCAGCTAGGCAGATAAATAAAAGAAATGTAAACAAACAAATAAGTAAACATCCAAACCCAAACTGTATAAAAGGAAATAAAACTACTTTAAAATATTTGGGATCAATTTTCTTCAACATTTTAATCTGAATCCTGTTTAAATAAGATTTTTAACCTCTGTTTTGGGGGAAAAAGACAAGGACGGTTAAATATGCCAACACTTGTATCTGCTTTAAAACGACCCTGTGTGCGCGCGCTTGTTTAAGCAGCACAGTGGCACGAAGTGGATCAAGTTCAAGTTTGGCCCACAGGAGCACAATCAGAGTACGCCACCCACTGGTGGAGCGCCTCATCCGAGGGAGAAGCGTGGGGGGAGATCCGCGAGATTCTAATTGATTTCGACGGAAATTCGAACAACACGAGGAGACACGTTCCCACCAACAAAAGCCTCATTAAGGTCCAAATAAACACGTGGACTCCTGATCTCCACCGTCAACTCCGGCGGCATCAAAGCAGCATCAACCTGCCTGTTTGTGGTTTCACTCAAAGCGCGTGCACAGGCAGCTTCTGGCTTCCTCTTTTCGTTCCGAACCATTATTTTGACGCGTAAACGGTCCGTGCGTAAAAATCAAACCGCATCGTGCGTAAAACGACATTCCTGGTTTTCTCTTTCATCCAACAGTCTCCGGAACGAGCATGTATGTTCATTAGCACAACAGATATTTGTTTAGCCCATACCACAGACTGGAAACACGACGTTTTGAGAATGATTTAAGCGCGTTGTTTCGGTTCAGGTGCCGCACACTGTGCGCTTTGGGCAAGCTTTAGCACCACTTCCCTGTGTTTAAACCAGCTGATATGTTCTAGGAGACATTAAATAGCTGTGTTAGTGTAGTTGGGTTGCTCTGAAAAGCTACACACGGGAAGTTGACAGTGGATGACCGCAGCGGAGCTCCTGCGCACACAGCCAAAGGTCTGTGGCCATAAAGCTCGTGCATGTCCTTTAATGGCGAAAGAAACCTTGAAGGCTGTTATACAACGCCTTCGAGTTGTGGCTCTCTGTCAGAACTTTCACCAGCAGAGCCCGCACTCACTTTGGGGAAAGCCTGTGCCTTTGGATATGTGTGCGTTTTGTGTTTGCGGTGGGCTCCCTGCTCCCTGTTAAATTCACCAAGGAGGAATGACCAAGAAAGGATAATAATAGCAAAAGACAGAAGTTGATTCCTGAAAGATCAACGCAGAGAAAGAAGAACAAGAGGCGATTTGTTTCCACTTACGCGAAAACTCCCGTTTGCTCAAGTGCTGGGGTTTGCCTTGCTTGCGGCGAGACATGGTGGGTTTGGCGGCGGCTCTTCGGCTCAGGTCACATCGGGAAACCCGCTCCTAAAAGGTAGAGTCCAAACGGAAAAGCTTCATTGATGCGTTTGTCATCCAGGTGCGGGGAAATGACAGCGGACCGAGCTGTGGATCATTCAGAGCGTGGTGCGTAACGCGCTGCGGGCTGCGCCGAGCTCCTCATGACTTTTTTTTTTTTCTCTCCTCTCTCCGCACAGAGTGATGTGAGGAGGTGGTGGGGGACGTCGAAGCCCCCCCTGAGCTGCAAGTTCAAGTGTGGACGTGACGTTCCTGCGAACTTGAACGTCAGGCGGTGGACACAGGGAACATGGGCAGGGCGAGGGCGGCCCGATGGGAGGGGAGGAGTGGGGGCAAGCCCTAATGAAAACCAACGGACACTCATTATGAACCTATGGACGGGGGGTGGGGGCAAGAGACACCCTGAAGACACCAATGGACGGAGGGGATCATGGGGGCTGGGCCAGGAGAGGAGCGGCGCAGAGCGCATGTTCCAGCGCGCAGCAGCTGTGGGCTGCTGCTCACGTGAATATGAATATGCAGTACGTATTTAAATTCACGGAGCAGACCGGAACAACTTTAACTCTTATCAAAACGAAGCACTGTTTATTTTATTATTTAAACCTCATTAACATCTATGACAGACTTAATTTTATTTATTAGATTATATTAGAACCAGCTTAGAAAAATGATGGTTTTAAGATTTTTATTTTATTTTTCTTAAACAAGAGGTTAAAGATAAATTATATCACATTAAGCAAGGCCAGTGTGGGGCACAAAAAAAAAAGAAACGTTTTTGTAATAAAAGCAACCTTTTACACACAAGCACTATACAGCTTTCACAAAAAAAAAAAAAAAAAAAGATTTAAGACTGAAAACTTTTCAAGACTTCTAATTCATCTCAAATATAGACATTTGTACTTATCCACAATTTTTACGTTTTATTTATTTAATTATTATCTGATGCAAGGGATTATACAGCTATAGGTCTTAACAGGGTAAATCAGTGAAAAATGTGTTTTTAATAATCCTCTTTCTGTTTGTCATAAATGGATGGATTATAATTTTTCTACTTTGGTTGTATTTTGGCTTAGTCACAATAAAGATGCAATCTTATTAAAGAAGAACTTTTTTTGTCTAAATAATTCTATTGTTCAGGAACCTCCTCTTTATTGGTTTTAAACCACATGACAGTTTCTGCCTGGTGGAAAGTGAAAAGTTTGAAACAATACATTTTGTATGGTTTATTGTCTAATATGAGCCTGTTTCACAGCAGACATGTCCATTTGAAAACGTAGAAGAACTTGCAAAGGTCTGCATTTGACAAAGTTCTGCACAGAAACAAAAGTGGCAGTTCAAAATGATAAATGTAAAGTCCTGTTATTTTATTTTACCTCACCTTGCTAACAAAAATAAACAAGAAATACTTCACAGCAATAATATTGCTACAATTAAACTATAAAACTTATTCTATAATTTTAGGAAGACTTGTTCTTTTATTTAGAAAAACCTATAATATAGCATGTTCTGAACAAATCTGACCATTTTCTTGTTAGTTTGGTGTGAATGTTGCCTCTGGGCCAGTTTGAGCTCGCGTACTCTTCACATCTCGGTCATTTGGCGCCATCTAGTGTCCATTTTGTGCAACAACACATAAACTCCAATATAAATAAAATGTTTCAACTCAAACAAAGCAACTCAAGATGAAACAAATAAAATACAAAAAAATCTGTCACACTTCTCTGACAAATAAATTATATATAATATAATAATAATAATAATATAAAAATTATAATCACATAAAGGGGGGGTATTAAACAGTAGAAAATAATAATAAAAATTAAATATATATATATATATTATTGTTGTTGTTTTGTGATTGTGGAAACAGCCTTGGCAATAATGAGGTTTTGATTTTTAATTTACATTTGAACTTGCAACAATAAATAGTAAATATAAAACTAAAACAAAAAACATACATTTACTGGACAAAAGTGAGAGTTGAATGACATTCATGAAATTTGCTGAAGAAGCTGAAAAAGAATTGTTAAAGTCAAAACTAACAGAACACTAGCTAAAAGCGAAATGTGACAAAATACTAGATGAGGGTAGCAAAATAGTAGCTATGCTAAAAGTTGCAGAAACATAGCCAGAAAGGAAAATAGAAACAAAACACTAGCTAAAAGCTAAATGTATGTATGTATGTATGTTTTATTTATTCATTTCATTTCATCCAAACAACAAATGTAATACAATTTAAAGAAAAGAAAAAAGATATACAATCACAGAAATAAAATGAAAGGCAGCAGAAGAAGAATGAATTCTTATAATATCTGCCCCTTGTAAATCTAACAAGAGCCTGTATAGGTGAGGATGAAATAATAGCTAGAAGCTAAACATAGCAGAAACATAGCCAAAAAGGAAAAGAAATAAAAAAAAAACACTAGCCAAAAGCTAAATGTAACAAAAGACTAGGTGAAGTAAAATTGTAGCTAGAAGCTAAAAGTAGCAGAAACAGCCAAAAAGGAAAAGGGGGGAAAAAAACCACTGGCTAAAAGCTAAACGTAAGACTATATAGGTGAGGGTAAAATAGCTAGAAGCTAAAAGTAGCAGAAACCAAAAAGGAAAAGGGAACAAAACACTAGATGGACGCTAAATGTAACAAAAGACAAGGTAAAGGTGACAAAGTAGCTAGAAGCTAAAAGTAGCAGAAGCCTAGCCATAAGGTAAAATGAAACAAAAACACAAACTAAAAGCTAAAGCAAAATGCCTGCTAATAACAGAAAGAAGACCAACAAAGTCCATGCTCAATAATCCAGGAGGCTAAGAATTCAAAGCGGCAGTAGCTAAAATTCAAATACAATACAACTTTATTTATAGAGCACTTTAAAACAACACTGTTGGCCAAAGTGCTGTACACTAGGACATACAAAAACATAAAAAACCCACACGTTAAAAATGTGAAATAAAATAAAGATAAATAAAATAAAACAAATAACTTAGAGTCATTAAAACCAACATTTCAAACTGAAGTAAAAGCCAAAGAGAAAAGATGTGTCTTCAGAGAAGAGAAATAGAACGAGTAATCTGAAGCTGATTAAGGTTTTTTTGAAGGAACTAATGAAATCTTAATGTATTTCTAAAAGAAAAATGTTTTAGAGGTAAATCTTTTGAAAAGTATAAAACGTAATAAAACCCAGAAGTCACCACACCCATCTCATGAAAGACATTTTGATTTATGAATGGCTACTGCACATCGGTAAATGGCAACAAAGACATAAGGAGAAAAAGGGTTTGACAGTCTGAAAAAAATACTAATGGCTTAAAAGCTACACAGAATATTTGAACCCATCACGTGAAAGAATCCAATAAAAATATGAAAATTGTCTCGTATAAAAGCTGCGCAGTCCTTTTGAAACGCATCAGAACAGATGAACGCTCCAAACATTTTCTATTTTCCACATGGTTTGCTCCTATTTTTAGATTGATTAAACTATTCAAAAGTGGAGTAACAATAATCAAAGAGTCAAAGCTGAAAATCCACAATCATCCATAAAATGGGCCACTCATGGTTGGCTGTCAGGTGTCCTGTGTTACATAACCATTGGTCCATTCCTGTCACTTTAAATGCGCACAGCGCCACCTGGAGGCGAAGACGCGGCGCAGCTGAAGCAGCAGGGCCGGGCAGCAGCACCAGGAGCACGGGGCACGGCTGTTTTCACCCCCGTGCGTGTCGGATGCTCATTGTCTGTTTGGCAGCAGGTGAGAGACGTTCGTCCACCTCAGATGATGCTGAGGACGCAGCAGCTCTGAGGCTCGTCGCTGCCTCCTGCTCGACTTTAAGGATGGAGGCGGTGAAATGAGCCGCCTCCATGAAGCTCCACGTCCCCGGACGGGCGTAAATAAACCTTTACATCATTTCAGCCGCTCGGAAATCACGTGAGAACTGTCAATGTGAACGTGTGAGGGTTTGTGTCCTTAAAAAAAAAAGGCGTGCGTAAAACATGATGCGCGCTTCATATGATGCGTCGGTAATTAGCGACAATCTCACCGTGACTGCGTGTTTAAACCTTAATCTGCGTTCTGAATTATGGAGCATTTGATCATTTATGTTAAAATCCCGCCTTTGGACGTGGTTTGGGAGTTGGATGGGTTCATGATGAGCTGGACTGAGACTCGGCCTAACCGGGCTCATTTTCCGGCTCTTCCATTGGCCGACATCATCCACGGCCGCCTCCAGCCTCCCTCAGGTGATGAGCTGTCATGTGCACAGGAAGCTGGCCCCTGAGAGGGGTCTCCTATGGACCAGCTGGGTCTTTGTAGTAGATGAACCAGGCTGCTGAACGCCCTCCACTGGGAGTAAAGGGAGAGAGGTGACGAGTTCATTTGGGACTGATTTGATGACAATAATAATAAAAAATGACAAAGTGGGTAATTCAAATGGCTCCTCCAGCGCGTGAGTCAGCAGGATGTGTGTGTTGATGGTGCTGCAGCTAAAGGAGGGTGTTTGTTTCAGTGACAAGAGCTGTTGTTCTTTTTCATAAACTTCTGAATGTGAATGGAAATCATATGACAGAATCATAAGGACGCAGGTTGTTATTGTCTGGCTCTCAGTTTGACTTGTCTGTGTCTAAAAAAGTTGGAATGATGTGTGAAATATAAAATGTAAATAAACAAATAAGAAGTGTAAGTTGCCCATAATGCATACCCATACCATCAGAGAGGCTGGATTTTGAACTGTGTGCTGCAAACAGTTCAGACAGTTTTGCTCCTCTTTAGCATGATGGTTCAACGTTTCCAAAAATAATTTCCAAATCCAATTCGTCCGACCGCTACACGGTGGCTACGTTGGTAGAGCTGTTGCCTCTCAGCGAGAAGGGCGTCGATTCAAATCCAGGCCACCCTTCTGGGTGGAGTTTGCATGTTCTCTCCATCAGGGGTGATTCTAGGATCTGACCTTTAGTGGTACATAGCCCCCAGTACTGACTGAAGAACAAAGCACAACTAGCTTTAAACATTACCATTATTATTACATCAGGTCTCTCTTGTAAATGAGTCCTCGAGGCTCAATGGGATTAACCTGTTTAAATAAAGGTTGAATTTAATTCAACTATTAACCTCTGACTGCAAAGTGTTTGTAACGCAAAACGTTGGAGGAAAAGGGGGTGGAGCTCCTGCGAGTAAGGGGCGTTTACCTTTGGGAAAAATTGAGGTCGCTGATTGGATAGTTGCTGACAGGCATACTGGATTGATTGACAGGTGGCGTTGAGGATCCAACTCATGCAAAAACAATCATAGATTTTACTGGCCTGAAGACTGTCATCATTTATTCCATATTTATTCAATATTTTGGTGAATCTAAGATATGAGAACTAAGCTCATTTACAAAATCCTAATGATAGTTTCTTAAATTTTCAGGGGTGCTGAGTTAAAATTTAGGGGTGCTTGAGTACCCACCAAAAAGAGGCTAAAATCGCCACTGCTTTCTATGCATGCTTTTCTCTGGGTACTCCGGTTTTCTCCCACAGACCAAAAACATGCATGTTAGGCTGGTTGGTAACTCTAAATTGTCCTTAGGTGAGAGTGAGAGAGTGAATGGTTGTTTGTCTCATTTGTCTCTATGTGTCTCTGTGATGGACAGGAGACCTGTCCAGGGACAGTGATAGTTGGACATGGGCACCAGTGGCCCCCACAACCCAAAAAGGAAGAAGCGGCTAAAGATAACTGATGGAATTTGTTTGACCACAGAACATTGGTTCACTTTTCCTCAGTCCATTTTAAATGAGCTTTGGCTCATTATGGATGATGTTCACAAATATGTTTCCTCTCTGCATGACAGAGCTTTAAGCAGCATTTGTGGATGGCGTGTGGTGAACTGTCTTTAGGAAGTATTTCTGAGCCTGTGCTGTGATATCCGTAACAGAATCAGACCTGGTTTTAATGCAATTCATCTCAGAGATTGCTCTAAATTTTTGAAATCCCGTGTTATGAACTGTGAATGAGCACAGCTAACCAAAAAGCTAGCTTCGCTAACCCATATTCCGCTACCTAAAAATTTTGCTTTGCTAACGCTAAACCGCTGACAGCTAATACAACTGTCACTCAGTCTGCGTCACACGTCTTCGCCTCCTTCCAGTTGAAGCTGTATCGACCAATCACATCTTGTCACAAGTACACGTAGTAAGCCAAAAGCATGCCTAACGGACTCGACAGGAACGAGCTTAGGAGTTTGGTTTGCTGACTAAAAGTTGGCAAAACCTAATTTAGCAGAAGCTAATTCGGCTAAATGAAAAATGAGTTCAGCTATTAGCTGTTAGCGGATCAGCAAAGCTGTGCCCACCGTTGATCAAGGTTCAAGGAGACTTTATTGTCATTTGCATCACATGTGGTGCATGAGGTGGAATGAAATTATGTACTCAAGGTTCCAGTTATATCCAAAAATAGCAATAATATAAAGTATATAAAAAAAGAAGCAGTGTACAAGGATCTAAGATATATGCTCAACGATAATAGTATAATATAAATAAGGTGTATCAAACTTTTATGGGGTTTGAAAATCACTGCATTTAGTGTTTATTTATATTTTAATCAACGTGCCGACTTTTTGCAACTGGGGTTGTGTCTAGTTTTCCCCGTTTTGTATAATATCTATTGTTTGTTTTTCAGTGTTGTGACATCTGGATTTATCCACGGTTGACTGCTGAGTTGTGCAAGTTTCGAAGGATGCCTGGACATCTGTAAGCCATGTCTTGATTTTTACACGTATGCTTCTTGTTGTTAGCTGCACCATATGGAGCGATGAGTACTGTATACCCCTGGGCCACGACTGAAATAGCTCCTGTGCTTTTGATACACAAGCACAGATGCTGAGCTTCCTTTAACTGTTTGAAGTTTTTTTTTTTTTTTCACGCCTGGTGTCACTGTTAGATCTTATCTGGTTGTTGATCAAAGTGTATCTTATGATTTTACTGCGCGTTTGTTTTCAGCACGATGTACTGAAGGTCAAAGGTGACCGCGTGAGGCAAAAATGAGTCTGACTTCCTGGTTTCTGGTGAGCGGTGGGGGGACACGACATCGTCTTCCCAGAGAGATGATCTTTGTGGGGAGGGACGACTGTGAGCTCATGTTGCAGGTACAAAACATTAACTAGATAAAATGCATTTCCTGCGAAAATACAGTGTGAATGCTTATTGATGAAGAACTTGCTGAAAAACAGCTGAAATTAGCTAAAACCATGCTGAAACTTAGCTGAAATTGAAGAACAAGCTTAAAGTAGCATAATAAAGCAGAAAGAACACATATTTGCTGAATTTGATTCAAATAAGCAGAAATTATCACAAAATTTAGGAAATTAGCTAAAAAAGCTGAAAGTAGCAAAACACAGCTGAAAAGTAGCTGAAAAGGCAGAAAGAAGCTTAAACTACCAGCAGGAAGTGGAAGCAGCTGAAATGAGCTAAAAAGTGGATATTAGTTGAAAAGTCTAAATTTAGTACAAACAGCTAAAAAGTAGCTGAAATAGCAGAAAAAGCTGAAACCAGCAGAAAAAAGCTGAAAAGAGCTGAAATTAGCAGATAAAAACGTTAATTAGGCTGAAAGTAATAGAAATTTCTAAAAAAAACAACAACTTTAATTTATCTGAAAACAGTTGAAATAAGCTGAAAATGTATAAAATGCTAAAAAGTAGCTGAAAAGGCATAACAAGCTTCAATTAGCAGAAGAAAGCAGAAAGAACATGTTTACCCAATTAGACTGAAAGAAGCAGAACTGAGCACTAAAAAATGGAGATTATCCGAAAAAAGATGAAATTGGCAAAAAAAAAAAAAAAACTGATGAAAAGTAGCTAAAATGTTCTAAAAGAAGCTTAAATTACCAGACAGAAGTGGAGAGAGCACATTTTTGCTGAATTAAGCAGAGAACATTGAAAATAAGTGTAAAATGTGTGAAATTAGCCAAAAAAAAGCTAAAATTAGCATAAAACAGCTTAATAGTAGCTGAAATAACAGAAAAAGCTGAAACTTGAAGAATTAAGATGAAAGGAGCGTAACAAGTTAAAATCAGCAGAAATAAGTTAGAAGAAGCACAAAAATGTTGTAGTTAGCAGAAAGAATCTAAAAGGAGCACAAAACAGCTGAAAAAATGTGAAATTTGCTGAAATTAGCTGGAAAAAAGTTTAAATTTGCACCAAGAAGCTGAAAGAAGCTGAACCAGAACAAAAATGTAAAAGGAGCAGTAAAAGGTTGTAAACACATCTAAAGATCTGAAGGATGTAAAATGAGCTCATTTCATTTTTTTTATGCGTAAAAAAGTGGCAGAAAAGGCTAAATATTTCTAAAAGCTAAAGTTGCACCAATACCAAAAGCCATAGCAAGATTGTTCGGTAAGAGCTGAATGTTTCGTTGAAATAGCACAAAAACTGTGGACCGAGAAAGATGCTGAAAAATGTGCAGAAGAAAATGGATCACAATAGTGTGAATGCTTCATAAACATCCACACTGTTAACATGTCCCTATTTGCTTCATATTAAAATTGAGAACTGATTAGTTTGGATTGCAGTGATTGACTGGATGTTTTGTAATTCAGTCTCGCAGTGTAGACAAACAGCACGCCGTCATCAACTACGACCCAAACACAGACGAACATAAAGTGAAGGACTTGGGCAGCTTAAATGGGGTGAGTGTGCTACTCATCATTTCTGCATTAAATTAACTCTTTACCACTTTTAGAAAAATATTTTTTCTTTAAACCTTGTGAGGAATCCGGTCTAATTTCTTGATTGTTGTTGTGTTATAAATCTAAAATTCATGTGAAAATGTAAACCTAATCTTAATGGTATTCACTGTAGGGCCTAAAAATAACATCCAGTGTTGCAATATGACATCAAACTTTGATGATTTTTTTTCAGACAAAAACAAAAAGGCTGTAAGTAGAAACACATGGAATGTAAGATTTAGAAGTGTTTTTAACCATTTTTATTTATTTGTCACCATGAACTCAAACATAAAAATGTTATCTTGAACTACAGTGTATCAAATGGAGCAGTTTTTTACTCCAGGAGTTTTTCAGATATACTGTTGTGCAATGCCAAAACGCAGGTACACACTCAGCGTCAACAAATCTGAGCATAATTATGTAACTAAACAAGGTCAAGGTTCTTTGTTGTCATTTGCATCACATGTGGTACTTGAGGTGGAACAAAATTGTGTACACAGGGTCCCAATTACATCCAACAATAGCAAAAATATAAATTGTAAAAGAAAAACAATAGTAAAATCTGATATGAACCAAGAAATACGGTAAACAATAGTGCAAAGCAATACTCTGAACAACAGCAGCACGAACATGAGTCTGTGTGAGTAGATGAGTACAAATGAGCACAGCAGCATGAAATAAATAGCAGCATGAGATCAGCAGCATGGATAATCAGCAGCACATATCAACAATCAATTGGCATTACAGTGATTTTTTTTACAGTGACTTTCCTGATTAGGGATTTATGAGTCTTAACAGCTTTAGGGTAGAAGCTGTTCCTCAGTCTAGTGGTTCTACACTTAATGCTCCACAACCTTCTGCATGAGGGGAGCGGGGCAAAAGGTGTGTGCGCTGGGTGAGTGGTGTCCTTCATGATGCAGGTGGTCCTCTTCCTGCATCTGGAGGTGTAGCTGTCTGTGATGGTGGGGAGGCTGACGCCAATAGACTTCTGTGCAGCCTTCACCACTCTCTGCAAAGCTTTTCTTTCTGCAGCTGTGCAGCCTCCATGCCACACGTTGATGCTGGAGCACAGGATGCTCTCCACTGCACACCTGTAGAAGGAGGTGAGGACTGAGCTTCCCAGACCATCTCGTCTCAGCCGCCTGAGGAAGTAGAGTCTCTGATGAGCTTTCTTGATAAGGCTGGTGGTGTTGTTGCTCCAGCTGAGGTTGTCATTCAGGTGCACCTCCAAGTACTTGTAGCTGGAGTCCGCTTCCACTGCAGATACTCCTATATTCAGAGGGGTAGGTGTATTTGTTTCGTCTGATGTCCACGACCATCTCCTTAGTCTTCTTCACATTGATGTGAAGGTTTTTTCTTCCTGCACCAGCTCTCCATGTGTTCCACCTCCTGCCTGTAGTTGGACTCAAATCGATGTTTGTGATTCATCCCACCACCGCTGTAACATCATCAAACTTTACAATATAACAGCCTGGATGAGTAGATGCGCAGTCATACGTGAGTAGAGTAAACAGGAGGGGGCTTAACACACAGCCCTGAGGGGAGCCAGTGCTGAGAGTTATGGTGGAGGAGGAGAAGTTGTGGATCCTCACAGACTGCAGCCTCTTTGTTAAGTTCAGGACCCAGTTGCAAATGGAGGGGCTTAATCCTAGTGTGAGTAGTTTCTCCATCAGGGAATCATGTGAATCTAATAAACCTTAATCAGATGTCTCAACTCTTGCATGGATGTTGCAGATGTTGAACTATTGTCAGTCACTTCCATTGTTTCCATAAGTGAACAAACACGTGGTAGTTGGCAGCTATTAACAAACTTTGATTAAAAATGTTTAAGTAACTGCTATATTAACCATTAAAATTAGAAAATTATTTTTTTTAAGCTCTTACTCTCGTATTTTTTTCCTGCCCCACTGTTCACGACATTTCAACAAGTACCAGTTTAAACTCTTAAAATACAGATATTTTTGACAGTTTTTACTTAAAGGCATTATCAGATTACGTTCACACCAATCAAGAACCGATGATCAAACTCAAATACAGCGGATTCTCAGCAGTTTAGATAAAAACAAGCATGTTTTAAAATAATCATGTCTTCCCTTTCTTATTACAAAGCAAATGTAAGCACATAAATACAGCTTTAATTAAACAATTTTAAGAGAGAAAATCTAAAAAAAAAGAGAGAGAGCTTCCTTGTATGATTCAAACATTTTGTTAGTTTTTAGCTTGTTGGGATGTTAGTAAATAGCTAAAATTAAAAATTTGTGGATAACCTTGTATGTTGTATTGATTATCTTTCTTATTGTCGTTTGTTTTGCAGACATTTGTCAATGATGTGAGAATACAGGAGCAAGTGTATGTCACGCTGAACACTGAGGACAAGTTGAGGTTCGGATATGATATCCTTCGGATCTGTTCTTGTGCGATGTGTCAAATCAAATGACAGGATATGCATGAGCACCACTGTAACTTTAGCTTCTCTTGGATGGATGTGAATGCTCATTGTACTCTGCCTGCTGCATAATAGATGATGCTATTTGTGCATGCTCCTCGTTGCTGCAAAGAGCTCCTCACCTTGTACCTTAACCTGCCTCACATACCAACCTGTTCACTGTTGATCGAGGAGAACTGCATATTCCCGAGGAGGCCCTCAAGGTTAGACGACATGCTGCGCTGTGGAATAAAAATAGCTAAAGTTTGCAAAGTGAATGGATCTGTCTGTTCAAAACTGGACAGCCCTGTATTTTTTATTACTTTGTAGTCAAAAAAAAAAAAAAAAAAGAATCAAAGAGTTCTGCTGAACTGGGTGAAAGCCTCAGAATTAAAAAAATAAAAATCTGCTGCTTCATCATGCCAAGCTTCCCAGGTAGCTGCAGAGAAGAGGATTTTATCTTAATAAGCGAGCAAAACTCCAGTTTCTTCAGTAACATGCAAAAGTTTGGCTCAGCAAAAATAATCTAAAAAAAAATCAAATTAAGTTTTTTTTTATTACTTTGACTCAACAGTTTTGCATGTTTGTCTCTAAACTCATCTCGGGGCTCTCCTCATCTGTCAGCATGAGAAACTGAGCAGTCAGCTGCAGATGATCCAGAAGAAACCTGCCGAGTCAGAACCTTCCAAACCTGAGGTGAGACCTTCTGAGGCAGCAGCTACACAAACGTGTGACGAGGCCAGCGCCAAACCCCCAGAGCCCCACAGGCCAGAGGATAAAACAACAGGTGAGCTTGAGCTCAACGCTGCATCTGATCATTTTACGATTTGTTCTGACGTTTTTGTGAATTTAACACAAAAAACTATTTGGATGATTAAATTGAACTGACGTAAAACAACAACTACACATCGTTACAGATTCTAACTAAAAGGCAAGTTCATATACATTTGTGTCTGTCTGTTAGCAAAAAATATCATGACCCATTGAATTAATTTTAATAAACCTTGCTAGAAATAATCATTACTTGTACATTTATATTTGTTTACCTTTTGAAGTCAGCCCAAATCAAGATGGCCACCTCAATCAAGTGTTATCAGAAAACACAAAAAAGGGTAGAAGTCTGTATATTTAATAAATGTTTATCTAAAATGTGGTGAAGTTGTAGTTGAGAATTATTCACAACACATACTTCAAGGGCTGCTCCTTGTACAAAATCTTTGTCTAAAATTTAACCATTGAAGTCAAGCCAAATTCTCTGTTAGCAAAATATCTCATGAACCATCTACCGTATTTATTTTATTGAAAACTTTCAGCAAATAATGGTTATATGTACCTTCACAAATGATTCATATGAGGAGTTAATTTTAGTGAAAATGGCTGCTACAGCTAATCAACAATAGCCATTAGAAAAACAGGTAATATTCAATCAGTTCTTTAGATACTGAGTTGAAATTTGGTGTGATAGTAGCTGAGAGTCATTCACAACACATGCTTTGAGCATCGCAGCTTATGATATTGCATAAAATTGTAAATAAAGTTATTTCCGAGGTTTGCCCAAAACAGCTGTCATTTTTCAACATGATGTTCGTTTAAAACTCCGAGTGATATACATTCCTACAAGGAATGCTAGGCCTTTAATGTTCTGTGCAGTTGTTGGATGGAAAATGACACTCAAAGAGGTGTTGAATTAATTTAAACGCAAACATCTTAACCTGGTAACAATCCTCTTACACCATTCTTGACCTCAAATAAACAATGCTGATGTCAGGTGCAGAATGTTGCATCATTTATAGTCTCTAATAGCAGGCGTCATTCCATATTTGCAGAGAAATTCTAAATTTTGAGACTCACGAGTTACAATTCTCCTATTTTATTATGAAGTTTGAACTCAACTCTATGAATGTTTTTCATTGTTGATGTGTGCAAATGGCTACGGTTTTTGAATCGATCTCTAACAGGCCACCAGGGAACACTAAGGGGCTTCCCATGTGACTAACTGAGGAAATATTTTGGCAGGAGAAACATCGGTCTTGAAAAGAGGTACGCCCCTCTATGGCCAGCCTGCTTGGTGGGGTGATGAAGATGCTGACGAGCAGCATCCAGGAAGGCCTGAAGAAAAGAACACAGACCGAAAAAGAGAAAAGGCAGAAACAGGTAGGATCAGTGTTGTTTAAATATCGCAAAACAGAAACTGCTTTTATGTAATTGTACAATGCAAAAACAAGGCTGCATTTAACGAGTAGAGGTTTTTGTTTAAAATGCTTATGTTTTAAATTTGCATTAGTTAAATTCATAAAAATACTATATAATTACATAACATTATATTACATAAATAGTGTAACACAAGGCTAATGGTGTACCACAAGGCTCACTCTTAGGACCCACTCTCTTTACAATCTACATAAGTGATGTAGGTCAGATCATTCCTGATGCATCCTTACATTTCTATGCTGACGACAGTTGTTTATTGTCGAGCTAAAGTATTTGCTAAGGTTTTCTAGATTTTACAGTCTTCATTCGACATCATTCAGTCAGATTTGTTTCGTCTCAAACTGGTGCTAAATGCTGATAAAACCAAAGTTTTTTTTAAATAATATAAAACCAATGTTGTTTTCAAACAATAAGTAGGTACCAGCAGTCTTTCCTTCTATTTTATCTTCGAATTGTGTTGTTTTGTTTTTGTTATTCAACCTTTATTTAAACAGATAACTCACAATGAGCCTCGAAGACTCCTTTACAAGTGAGACCTGTTTGGACAGACAATAAAAAGTGGTGAAAAATGACACATAGGGTTTGGAGACAAAAAAAAAAATCTTAACATGCTCTTAATCTTTGGCTGAAGGTTAACAGCATGATAATGAAAAAAAAAACTCGCACACGAGCACATAATGACGCCGACATTCCGCAGTGGGGGTGGAGGGGGGGATGCAAGGGCGGCGAGCATGTCCAGAGACAACACACAGAGGCACTTCAGAGTTCAGATAAACTCGCTCAGTTCCTATTGAGTTTGTCGATTCTTACAAATACTGGTATCTTGGTTGATTTACATCTCCGTTTTAAGCCTCATGTCAAAAACTTGATAAAGGAATTGAAAATAAAATTGGGTTTCTTTTTCAGAAATAGATCTTGTTTAACTCTGAATGTTAGGAAACGTCTTGTAGCTGTGACTTTCATTCCCTCCAAAACGGTGACATTATTTACATGAATGCTTCTGCAAGCACTCTGCAGATGTTGGACTCTGTCTATCATGGTGCACTAAGATTCATAACTGGCTGTAACTACCGTACCCATCACTGCACTCTGTAGTCACTGGTTAACTGGACATCATTAACTTCACACAGACTCTCACATTGGTACATTTTCATCTTTAAATCCCTTCTTGGTCTGCTGCCTTCATACATCTCCTTCTACATGTCACTTCGTCAGTGCAGCTACAGCGTGCACTCTCAAGACATCATTACCTGCAGCGTCCCCTCAGTGCAGACTGCATTTAGCAAAAGGCCTTCTCTTACTCCGCTCTTGTTTCCTGGAACACCTTGCAAAAAGATCTGAAGCTGTCGACCTTGACCTCTTTAAGAGATTTTAAACAATTAAGTTCAATGCAAAAATCAATGCAGACATGTTCCTGTTGTTTTACACCATTTCATAATGTAGCTTGTTTTTATTTAATTTTATTTCACTACTTTTATTTACTCTTCAGTTTATTTGCTTTTTAATGACTATTGTTGTGTGTACATCATCTGTGTTTTTTTGTTTGTTTGTTTAATGCAGGTCTCTCTTGTAAATGAGTCCTCTTGACTCAATGAGAATAACCTGTATAAGTAAAGGTTGAATGAATGAATGAAAACAAAACTCAGATCTTTCCATTACTTCCTGCAGACAACAAGAAAAGCACAGACATCTCAAAGTCTGCCCCTCAGACAGCCTCAAACCAAGAGCCGAGTTACTTCAAAACACCAGCTAAAGACTCTCCATCAGGTAAGGTGACTAGTGAACCCCCCTTACAAGATCAAGAGCCTGGTGTTCCTGCTGCTGCAGAACCCATCCATGGACATGCATCATTCACCATTGAGTTTGACTCTGGAGCATCAGGTAAAGTTACTGTGAAAGATCGAGTAGCAAAAGTAGGACCAGAGACCAGGCCACGTCCTAAAAGAGCCACTGGAGAGGAGCTGAGTCCACTTCAAACAGCTATGGTGGCAGCGGAGGTAAAAGTTGCAGACTGGCTGGCCCAAAATGAGCTGCCGCTAACTCTTAAAGAGATGCCTGCAGAGGAGGATGGGGAAAGTGTCAAGAGTGACGTTCCTGTGCAGCTGAAGAGTCTTAAAGGTTTGTGTAAATAATACCTACCGTGATTCTTAAGTATTCTCTCTTTTGCTTTTTGGACAAAACTGTTACTATTGTCTCTGTCACATGTCAGACAGTAAACATGAGGACGGCACTCAGAGCGATTCAGAAAATGCTCTCGGAGAGCAGCGGAGGGCTGCAGCTCTGGAGGAGCGCTCCTGGGGGCTTTGGAGCGGTGCTGGAATGAAGATTAGAGAAGGCCGTGCAAACGTACCAGAGGGTCTGTTTGCAGAAGAGGAGAGTCCTGCCCGTCGTTGCAAGCCTGCTACTTCCAAAGGGGTGAGCAGATTTGTGGAAAGGCGACGCGGCTCCGTGCCACATCAACAGAGTGGGCGTGATGAGAGCTATCGCCATGGTGATGATTACATTGACAAGGTGACTTACACTATTGAGATGGAGAATAGAAGCAATGAAGAAGAGGAGGCTAGGAAACTGATTGACAAAGTAAGGAGGGTCTAATCTTTTAACCTTTTGGTTTTTAGTCGTTCTCTAATTATATTACTAAAAAAAAAATATATATATATATATATATGTATATATATTTTTTGTGTGTGTATCGTTTAGGTGTTTGGTGTGGATGAGCAGTGTGTTTCCAAGTTGGGGGGAACTAACCAAAGAGAAAGGCTTTCTTCACAGTGGTCTGGTTCCAGAGACAAAGGAAAGCCTGGACGATTGGAGACAGAGGTGCAAAAGCTTATTTTTTTTTATCTGAAGTGGCTTAAATTTGATTTAGTTTTAGTAGTAAATGAACACAGTCCTTTTCAAATAAGTGTCACTTACACTAGAAGACTTGCTCTTGTATCCATGATGTTTTCTTGGTTCAGGTGTTGTCTGAAGAGCTGATGGTGGGGGGTCCTCGCTGGGTGTCGCAGTGGGCTACTCTGGCTGCCAGTCACATTAGAACAGACCCTGAGGGTTCGGGAGGTGAAAACCAAACTATGGTCACAGAGGACAGAGGTACTAAAGTGTAGTATTTTTCAGTCACATAATATCCTACAGTGAATTGAAAGTATGTTGAGTAAATAGTATACCACCACAATGTAAGTCATCATTACAGTGCAAAGAACAGAAATGTAGCCCAACAAAACATTAGTGACAAATCGTCAGATACACAGCAGTCCATTTAGACGTGGCTAGTTTTAAATTAACGGTGTTACGTTAGGAAACATCTTTGAAATAATTACTCAGAAGTCCAAGACTGATGTTTGACAAAATTTATTAAAAATACTTGCAAGGAGAGATAATGCCCTTGCATCCAAATGAACGACATAGAACACATAATATAGATATATAACCGAACACAAAGGACACTCATAGCCAACGCAGTCATCCTTACAGCAACATGAGCATCACCTGTCTGACAACCGGTACGAAGATACAATTATTTGTGTATTCCCATACAAGAAGGAGGACTTCCTCCCTCCTCCTGCAGCCACTGTCTCCACATTCCAAGTAGCTGGCAGACACCTCATCTTATCTCCACAGTTTGGCTCATCTGCTGAGAAATTTGTTTTGTTCAAATAGTGGAAAAATCAAAAAAGAAACAAAAAATATTGTGACGGAGTGCTGTTTTTCTTGCTAGCACTTTAGCCTTACAAAGTTTAACCAAGTGAAACACGCCAGCAATAGAAAAAGGGAGAAAAATCTGCATTCAGCCAAAAAATACCTTCTGCTGCGAAAACAAATACAATTTGCAAAAGCACTTGTTCTGTAACTACAAATGGGATTGTTTATTCTAGGGAAGAATAACCCATTTGTTCCAATTCACCAGCATGCACGTGCACAATGTGACTGCATCTGTAAAGCGGCTGTGTGCAGTGTTTAGTTAAATCCAGACGCATCGATTTATTTTAAGTCTTTGAACAGATGAAACCTGATTCGTTTAATACTTTAAAGTCAGCAACCAGGTTTGTTACTACACGCACGCATCCACTATAAAAACTAACAGAAAAGTTCAAATGTATTTACGTTTGCGTATAAAGAACTCTCGCTGCAGCTCCTGCTGGTTAGCTGTACTATTTTCTTTAAACAGAAAAAGGTTGACTTTAGGGGTGCACCGATTGCAGTTTTCTGTCCGATCACCCATTTCTAAAAAGTCTGACCTGCCGATTCCGATTTTGTTTAATAAACGACACTGTCAGGTGTTATAAGGTCACAATGCACCTTCAATTTTCCAATATTATTTAGTTGAAAAACATACCCTTGAACAATATCCTAGAAACAATACAAACTTATTTTAACTGGCCATGAGGTAGTGCTTTGAAATATAAAGGAAGTTCAGACATTTGTTGTTAAAACTAAAAAATTGGGTAAAATTGGTTTCTCATGCAAGTATCGGCCGATTTCCTAAAATTAAGGAAATCGGGGCCGATTTATCGGTGCACCCCTAGTTGACTTGTGTTTTACTTTATATTATACATTTTGCAGCTCACTGCTGAGTTACTAGAAGAGTTTTACGTAAACACATCTGCTGCAGGAAGGTTTATTAATTTTGCACTGTCTTATTGTTTATTTTTTATTAATTTTGTCAGGTTTTATAAAAGTGTTTTGCAATTTTAAACAAAGATTTGTTAGTGAGCGGTCATTTTTTTACTAGACGGTAAATAATTACCTGATAGTCTCAATAACTGACACAGGACCATTCCTTTGCTTTGGTGTTCTATATTTCATTATTGAATCACATCAAACTGTGGTAACAAGCTGAGCTACATCATAATTAAAAACTGAATTGTGTCGCATTATAGCAGTTTTTGCCACCCGATCATCTTTAATTAACTGGATTGTTGGCATTGTATCCAGATAAGTTGTGTATCAGCCACAGACCAGAGATGCACAACCCTAATTATTACACCAGAAACTAGTGTCACTTCATTGTTATTATGATGATTGCACCACTGAGTTTCATGTTTTTCACTTTAAGAACCCTTGTCAAATCCTCTTTTAAAACTTCTTGACAGTTTGTTTTTAACTTACAGCTTCCGTTTGTACCACATAGCAGTGATGCGCCTGCCTTGCTCTGTTTATTTTTTTCAGCTGATACAAGTGAATCCGGCCACACAGTCTTTGTTGCCTCTTCCACGTACACAGAGCGGAAGAGGAGAACACTACCCCAGCTACCTAGTGAGGAGGTCATTCTTGGAAGAAGGAGCCCAGGAGCAGGCCTGCGCACAGATTTGGGGGAGAAACAGGACACAGAGCTACAAGAAAAAGAGAATCAAGATGAGAGGATTTCCAGAGGAAAGCTGGATCACGGAACTGGAGGGATTGGCAGTCATGGAAGCAGCCCCAGTCGCTCCTCGCCGGCTAAATCACAGGACAGTGGTGGTGGAAGATCAGGTCATTCTGGTGTGCTGGCCAAACTTCCCCCTCGTCCAATGACCAGTGGGGAGAAGAGAATGGAGGAGGCAAGAAGGAGGAAAAGGGAAGAGGAGAAAGCCAGAGAAAGTAGTGGAAAACCATTGCTGAGACAGGAGAGTTTTACTGTGGAAAAACCTAGCGCCAACGTGCCTATAGAGCTTATACCACGTATTGATGGACTCACATGCAGAACTCAGAGTAAAGATGCTGGCATTGACACTGTCACACTGCAGAAAGACTCAGAGGCTGTGGCAGCTTTTCTAGAGACCACCGTATCAGACCAAGGTGATCCCCCGAGTCAGTCCATTGAAGGCTCCGTGTCTCCAGAGTCAGATGTGGACACAACAAGCACAATAAGTCAAGCAGACGGAGTGAGGAAAGTAGTCCAGAAGCGTCGGGCACTTGCAGGGCAGCAGAAGGAGAGAACGGTAGTGTGCTCGTCTAAGAAGGGGCCCACTGAGTGCAGAGATACTCAGGACCGGAGGGTCAAGAATAGAACATCTGGTCCTCAGCAGCCTACTCGTCCCTGGACTTCCCTGGACCTCACTGATGATGATGTCAACTCCAGTTCACTCCTTTCAGACTCACAACCCACCTCTGTGCAAGAAACTAGAGGCTCAAACACTAGAGCCCAAGCTGGGAGCGCAATGGTCGGAGCCAGCGCCAAGTCTAATCGGAGTAAGATTTCCCAGACCGCAGCTTCCTCTGCACCCAGTAAAACTGCCAATGTTCCCAAACCAAGACCCACTCGGACATCTCTGTTGAGACGAGCCCGGCTGGGGGATTCATCAGATACTGAACCTGCTGATATGGACCGGCTGTCAGTGGCCTCTGAGGCCTCTACTGCTAGTTCTACATCCAGGACAGGGATAGCAAGAAGGGGGATGTCCAGGATAGAGGCTTTAGCGCAACCAAGGAGACCAAGGGTGGCATCTCCGTCTACTCAAAGTGACTCAGAAGCCACTGTGACAAGGGGCAGAGGTATGGGGGCTCGAACTGCAGCAGGTGATTGTGCAGTCAGACAAGGACTGAGAGGAACTAATGCAGCTTCATTGTCTGGACCCAGAGCCAGAGCTAACAGCGCCTCCAAGCTGCCTGATAAAAGTAAAGGAACCGTCTCTTATGGACATGCTACACCTGCATGTGAGTGGACAGATTTTTCCCCTATCCAAGAACAATCAAAAATTTAAGCTGTCCCTTTCTTCCTAAAAAAAACAGTTTACTGTAAGAATGTGTCTGTACTGCTAATGTTTTCTTGATTATATACTTTTGCATCAATAGAAGCTTGATTCTGCCAAAAAATCTTCCCTCCAATTTTTTCCTCAGCCAACACACGATGGCGCCGGGTTCCTGTGGAGTATGCTTCCACCTCAGAAGACGAGTATGGCTCAAATCGCCACGTATCCAAGCAGGGCCAAGCAAGGCAACCTTTCCCTTCAACACGAGTGGCCCAGTTAGGAGGCTCAGCCCCAGCATCACCCAACCCTGCCGGCCTGGCTGCCTTCAAGCAGAACTCCAGGGAACAGGATGAGTATATGAGAGATTGGACAGCGCACAGCGAAGAAATAGCCAGGTATGTAGGTGAGAAGTCCTGGAAATATTTTTAAAAAGCACTGATGACTCATAGCTTCTAAATTTAAAAAAGCATTTTCTACACGCTGTCCATTTTTAATCTACCTCTGTTTTTTATGAGTTTAGTAGTGGGAATTAAACATCACAGAAAAAAAAAAAGTAAATTTGTGGATCATTGCTTTTATTTCTTCATTAGGATCAGCCAAGATCTAGCCAAGGATTTAGCCATGCTTGCCAAAGAGATTCATGATGTGGCGGGAGAGATCGACTCAGTCAGCCCTGCAGCAACTGACCCTGGAGCTTCGGTACATACATCACACTACATAAGAGAAGTTTTTCTGTATTGGATGGATGGATGATAGATGGATGGATGGATGGATGGATGATGGATGGATGGATGGATGGATGGATGGATGGATGGATGGATGGATGGATGGATGGATGGAAT